AGCAGATTCACACGGATGAGAGGCCCTTCCGCTGCCGTGACTGTGGGGAGCGCTTCAAGCAAAACTCCCACCTCATCACCCACCGGCGCATCCACACTGGGGAGAGGCCTTATAAGTGTGGAGAATGTGGGAAGGGGTTCAGCCAGAGCTCTAGCCTCAGTACCCACAAACGCATCCACACCGGGGAGAGGCCCTATGAGTGTCCCCAGTGTGGGAAGAACTTCTCAGACAGCTCTCAATTGACCAGACACAAACGGAGGCACCACTAAGGGAAGCCCTGCGAGTGCTCCAAGTGCAGGAAGAGCTTCGTGCGCTGCTCCAACTCCATCCCCCATCAGTGGACCCACGTTGGGCAGAGCCCTGATGGCCCATGTTCCCTGTGATCTGTGTTGGGAAGACACTGGGCTGGTGGTCGTTTTGGTTTTGTTCTAATTATCTTTAGATTCATCTTCATCCCTTTGGAACAGACTAAATTGGGGTAAAAATCAACAAATTAATGGCATCTAATTAATCAATGGCACCTAAAACCTCACATTTTACTAGTGCTTCAAGAGCAACTGGGAATCAGGGAGCTACTTGAGAGTATTTAGGGGTTGTGGGGTATTTGGAGTTGTCTCCATTTCTTGGCACTCAAAGAGATGAGGGGCTTCAATCTGTCACCTCAAGACCTCTCAGTGCCTCTGAATGCTACTCAGTCCCACCCCAAAATTATTCAATTCCACCCCCCCTCCAGCTATGATGCCCTTAGTTTTAGCTTTCATATTTTTCATATTCTGCACTGCCTAGGTTTGTAGTTTTGAAGTTCATATTAATTGTTAGTGTCAGAAAAAATTAATCCACGAACACCAGAGGTTTATATGCAAAAAGGAGATAGAGGAGTGCTTTCAATTTTTTCAAATAAAGGGAGAGGCCATGGGGCATTCCCCTGGGATCTCTCTAATTTTTGGAGGGCGCAGCCTCCCTTTTATCCCAATTCCAGGCCGTACGTCCCTTCTCCCTTTCCCCATAGGCTGAGGGATTTGAGAGGTACAGACTTCCTGGTACTCATGATACCTGAGATACCATCCCCCCTCCCCCCAGTGCATAATCTCCTTCTTAGTTCTCAGCCCTGTTTGAATTTTATGGTGTTTCCCCAGTGTCTGTTTCATCTTTCAGTTGAATCCATCCCATTGTTTCTGTTATCTCTCAGTGATAGTTTCATTTTATCGGCAGACTCACAGCTTGTTTGTAAAGACAAGTGTCACTCTGATAGTATAAGGTTTTAAAATCTTAGAAAATTCGGGGACTTAGAAAGAAAGGTGAGGAGGAAGTCAGTGCCCCTTTCCCTCTCTCTCCTGCTCCATCTCCCAGCCCAGCATGGCCCCCAGCTGCAGGACAACCCTGTTGCCGAGGCCGTCCTGCCGGGGATGCAGAAAGAAAGTTAGGTTTGGTGAGCCCGGGAAGAGTAGGTCCTGGGAAGTGTTAGGCCTTGTACTTGCTAAAGATCATGTCAGACTGCACCTGTGTAATTGGTATATGATGAATGATACAATTGTTAGATGTGATTAGATATAATTATTGTTTAAAGAACATGAGGAACAATGTTAGGGGGTTGAGGGGGATCACAAGAAATCCATGCTTGGGTAAAAACAATGCATACAATAGAACAATGTAAGTTTAATAATTAATATGAAAGTTATATAATGATAGAGTATAAAAGTATGTTCAACTCAAAACCAAGTCAGGTCAGATTTGGGTATGTGTACCCCTGACACCCAGAGCTCTTAATAAAGCACCTTCATTTAATCATTCTGTGATTATGTGTGTTCCTGAACACTAACATTTTGGCGACCCCAGATGGGACCTTGTGAGTGCTGCTGAGCAAACTCACGACCCGATCACGCTCCAGCCAGCACCGAGGAATTCTTGGGGACCCCATCAGCTGCGACCGTCTCTGCTGCTCACAATTTCCCCAGGAGAGAAAGGTAAGGTGCTTTACTGTGGGGGTCAGGAAACCAGCTGATTCAGAGATCCTGGCTCTCCCTTGGAGGCAAGGCACTTTCTCTCAGAGAGAGAAAAGTATTACTCCCAGAAATCTTTGAGTTAGTTGCCTAGGCGCCGTCTGTCAGACGACTGCAATAGCGTTGCAGATCCAGCATTTGTGGTATATTATAGTTATAATATGGAGAAACTTAAAGGGATTTTGGGCAGCAATGCTCCCATACCGGATACTTCTCCTTTGGGTGCTTATTAGCACATTGGAAACAAGGTAACTTTGGGGAAGAATTACATAAGACTAAGATGATTTCGGTCAGATCTTCCCACAGAAAAAGACCCCAGCAACCCCGTCTCTTCTGTTGGTAGCTATAACCCCCTCTTCTCTCTCTTTACTTTGTTTTCTTTATCTCTCCCTCTCTTCCTCTCCTCTCTCGCATAACCCTTGTTGTCACTAAAATAAAGGTACATTATTGTTGTTGTGATTTAAACTGAAATCCCTTGTGTCCGTCTTGCACTCTGAGATCAAACGAACCTCTCACGAGTCCCACTCGCGTTAGCGAATCGTGGCATTTAAACTGGAGTCACGGACAGGATTTCTGACAGACAGAAGGGGCTGCAGGTTTGTTGTGCAGTCTGTATTAGGGGAAGGACGTTTTGCTCCAGTTGCACCCAGCCCGACACTCCCAAAGAGTGAGCGGTGTCTGGAAAGCAAGAGGGGCAACTTGAATTTCCCGCAAACTGCACACGCCGAGGTGAAAAGCACCCCGCACTCACTTGAGGGCTCTGTCTGCAGAATTTCGCAAAAGATCTCTTAGTGCAAAAGGGCTGGATTGTTTTTGTTGTTGTGTGTATGAATTTTGACAGCTTGGTGTAGCAAAGAGACAACCAGAATTTTAAACTGAAGGAGTGCCTCCCAAGCAGATTTTTCCTTTTTACCCATACAGGGAAGCAAAAATCTGTGTGTGTGTGTGTGTATAATTTAAGTTGATACCTCCCTGTAGTGGTTTTTCCCTCTGTAAAAATGACCGAAAATGTCTGCAGAAGTTAAAGCTGCATTTTATGCATGTTATGCTTTGTTAGCAAAACACAGTGCCAGACCTCCAGGAGGGAAAAGTTGGTGCTTAATAATTGGTTTAATTTGGCAAATGTGATTGATAGAGTATGTGTTTTTTTTTACAACATGAAATAGAATTTAAACTGGGCAAAAATAAAACTATACTCTGCTCAGTTTTGGGAGCTTGTCTTACAGCAGCTATAGAAACTCGCTTTAAGTGAAGAAGTTAGGAAAGAACTATAATAGACTCCCTCCAAAACCTAGTTAAAATTTTGCAAAAACAATTGGATGAAGAAAGGAGTAAGATCAATCTGTTGTGAATAGCCCTCCATGATAAAAATTCAAAAAATGCTGACTTGCTAAAGGAAACAAGAGAGGGAAACCCCTCTCATTAATCAAATTTACCCTCAAAAGGAGCTAACATGAAAAATGAAAAGGATCTTGATCCGCATATAACCACTGAAAATAAAGAAAAAGAAAAAAAAAAGAAAAAAAAAAAAAAAAAGGGAGTACGGGAGTCTGCCTCACGAGTCAGAGACAGAATATGTATTCTGAGTGTCTCTTACTGGAGGTGATTAAATTCGATTGAGAGAACGGGAAGCCAGTGGGTACTGGGGACATGGAGTCTTCGTAACAACAGGAGACAGACATAACCCATGGTCCCTAAATCAGCATGCAGCTTATCAGGCAGAGGGGCTAAACCCCTTGGAAAGGGGGGACCCTATAGCTATAGTTGGTACCCCCAACCAACTACTGGAAAACATTCACAAAGCTGCCTGCTTGCAAAATGATACACAAAAGAAAATTAATTGCTGGTTCTAAATCACCAGTGTTGTTACCTGTGAAAACTGAAATTATGATCTCTTTAATTCAAGGCCTTCCAGAATCACTTAAACCTACAGCAATTTTTCTCATAAAAAACCCCCAAAACCATAGCAGCTATAACCCCTGTGGATAGACTAGATAGATTTCTTGGGAACCCGACTGATCGACCTGGTTCAACTGATCCTGGGTTTACTCCCTTCACCACCCCCTCTCAGCTGACAGGTTCACAACTGCGTTCTCCTGCTAGGAACCATAAAATTTGGACATGGAGCAAAGTTGCAAAAGAGTTAATTAATTACAGTAGAAATTATGGACCTGTAAAAATCCCAGAAGAAAAATCAGAGAAAGCAAAGGGTGTTAGATACATTGGTTCTCTTAATGAAAACCCAGAAAAGAGAAAACAAATCTCTAACCACCATTACTGGTGGTCACTAAGGATAAAGAAGAGGGTCCCCAGAAACATAATGGATGACTTATCACTTAAAAGTTGAGTAAAGTAGTTTCTAATTAACACTGTCCCAGGTTCATTGTATCGAATGCCCCACTGTATAACCCAGCACACCTCCACAGGCTCTGGGCTGTGAGCCAAAGCAGTCTCCTTCTCAGCTTCTGGGAGTGGAGCCCAAACAGCCTCAGAATCAGGGAAACTGGTAACTCTGCCTCTCATGGGTGAGCAGAGAGGTGGAGGTTGGTTGTATTTAAAATGCTCACTAGAAATAACAAAACTGGAGACATACTGATTTTAGCAATGGTGGGTCCCAAACATGCACCTATTACTTCCAGTTAATGCTAGAGCCCAAATTTCTGTGTTAACCAATACAGACTAGTACAGGATTTGAGAGCAATAAATGCAATAACTAAAGATATTTACCCAGTGGTAGCTAATCCTTGCACATTGTTAACATCCATAAAAGAGAAATATAAATGGTTTACTGTAATTGATTTAAAAGATGCCTTTTTCTGCATACCCCTTGACAAATATATATGATAAAAATATATGAGATAAATATATGAGACAAATATATGAGATAACACACTTAATGTATCTCAATTTTTCTGCATACCCTTGACAAAGAAAGTAGGAAACTACTTGCCTTTGAGTGGGAAAATCCAGAAAATGGAAGGAAAACTCAGCTCACCTGGACACACCTCCCACAAGGATACAAGAACAGTCCAACCCTATTTGGAAGCCAGCTATCTAAGGAGCTGGAGATTTGGACTGAGAATGAGCAAGTACTGAGAGAACAATACCTGCTGTTACAGTATGTTGATGATATACTGACAATTACAGAAGAGAAAACAACCTGCATAAAGGTAACAATTGAAATTTTAAATCAGCTGGGAATGGGAGGATATAAGGTGTCTAAAGAGAAGGCACAAATTGCCCGGCAAACTGTGATTTACCTGGGATGTGAAATCTCACAAGGGCAACGTAAGCTGGGTACTGATCATATTCAAGCTATTTGTGCTATTCCAGAACCCCAGAACCTGCATGAGCTGCGAGTTTTCCTTGGGATGACAGGGTGGTGCCACCTGTGGATCATGGACTATGGACTAATTGCAAAACCCCTGTATGAAGCCCAGAAGACACAACCATTTACCTGGGGCAAACCACAGAAGGAGACCTTCCTCAAACTGAAGGAGGCATTGACAACGGCTCCGGCATTAGGATTGCCTGATTTACCCAAAGATATTCACCTGTTTGTGCATGAAAGACTACACCTAGCACTGGGAGTGCTGACCCAACCTTTGGGAGGCTGGAAAAGGCCGGTAGGCTACTTCTCCAAACAACTTGACAATGAGAGTGCCTGATGGCCTTCGTGCCTGCGGGCAGTTGTAGCCACTGTGATGCTGATACAAGAAGCCAGGAAACTCACAATGGGTAGAGACATAGATGTCTACACATGGTGACCACTGTTTTAGAACAAAAGGGGGGCCATGGGCTATATCCAAGCAGGATGATGAAATTCCAGGTAATCCTGACTGAGCAGGATGATGTCACACAAAAGACAACTAACCTCTTGAATCCAGCTTTGTTCCCACGTACCACAACTGAAGAAGGCCCATTAGAGCACGACTGTGTAGAAGTAATAGAGTACACCTATTCGGCAAGAGAAGACCTGAAAGACATCCCACTAGAGCAAGCAGAGTGAGAGCTATTCACAGATGGAAGCAGCTTGGTGGAGAACGGGACCAGATACGCTGGATATGCGGTAACAACAGTCAGTACAATAGTGGAGGCAAAAGCATTATTACCAAATCCATCTGCCCAGAGGGCAGAACTGGTTGCCTTAAGCAGAGCACTAGAATTGAGTAAAGGGAAAAGGGTAAACATATGGACTGACTCAAAGTATGCTTTTGGAGTAGTACATGTACATGGAGCACTGTAGAAAGAAAGAAGACTACTGGCTTCTCAAGGTACACATGTTAAACATCAAGATGCAGTCCTGCAATTGATAAAAGCAATACAAAAACCTGAACAAGTATCAATTATACAGTGTAAAGCACACCAATCAAGAAACTCCAAAATTTGTGAGGAAAATCGAAAAGCAGACTGGACAGCTCGACAGATTGCTTGAGAAGTGCAAACAACAATGGCATTGATACCTTTAAATGTTAATGTATCTCAATGTAATTTGCCTCCAAAACCAAAATATTCAGTAGAAGATGAGAAATTGGGACATTAGCTAAATGCACAAAATAATTCAGAAGAGTGGTATGTAACTGCACAAAGACAAATAGTGTTAACCCCCTTGATAATGAGAGAAGTTCTACAAATTAAACATAACAAATGCCATTGGGGTGCAGAAACATTGGTAAAATTGCTAAAACAAAAATTAATCTTGGTATGGATGCTAACAATGGCAAAATCAACTCAGTGGCTAGACACAGGCAGAGCTAGGAAGGATTAAGATAGGAATAGAATCAAGATGACACTTGGCAAGAACCCTTTAGTAGAGTGAAATTTGGGTGGGCCCTAGAGTCTTTGCTCGATCCTATAGCAAACTATCAGAATAAAGAAATGTTGTACAAACTTACAGGTCAGGTAGATAAATTAGCAAGAGTGACCTGAGAAAGATTTAAAGAACTAAACGTACAATTACAATTTACTACTCCTGAAAGAGCATGGAGTGTGTGGGTTTTTTAAAGGGATGGATTGATCATTGCTGCATCCACATCCCAAATGTAACTGCAGATGTAGAATATGACATCAATCAGTTGCAACAAATAGAGCATGGAGCACAGGAAGAGCAAAAGGATTTGACTACAATTGGTTAGGGAGAATCTTCAAAGGGTTAGGGTGGAATGTGAGGTCGTGGAGTAAATCTATCATTGAGAGTGCCATAGTCTTACTAATTGTATTCTTAGCAATTTGGTTAGTTTGCAGCATCTTCAAGGTAGAAATACAGAAGAAAATGTCCTGGAACCAGAAAATAATAAAGGCACTGATGTGAGATCCACCATCTTCTGGTTCTCCAGTTCCTGACAGCATCCAGGACAGCTCACCTGGATGAGGTTTACATCAATCAAGGATTCAAAGAACATCAAGTATAAACTCAGAAACAAGGAACTGTATCAAGTGAAAACATTTGCACTTATAGTGAAGTGAAAATGCTTTCATTTTGATATGTAATATCAAATATATAATACAAATATGTAATGATAGTAAAAGGTCTCAAAATCTTAGAAAATCCAGGGACTTAGAAAGTTAGGTTTGCCAAGCCTGGGAAAAGTTGGCCCTGGGAAATGTTAGGCCTTGTACTTGCTAAAAATCAGGTCAAAACTGCACCTGTGTAATCAGTAGATGATCATGATACAATTGTTAGATGTGATTAGCTATAATTATTGTTTAAAGAACATGAGAATGTTGGGGGGCTGGGGGGGATCAGGAGAAATCCATGCTTGGGTAAAAACAATGCATACAATAGAACAATGTAAGTTTAATAATTAATATATAAGTTATATAATAACAGAGTATAAAACATGTTCAACTCAAAACCAAGATGGGTCAGATTTGGGTATGTGAACCCCTGACACCCAGATCTCTTAATAAAGCCCCTGCATATAATCATTTGTGATTATGTGTGTTCCTGAACGCTAACAATTTCATCAGATTTTACTGGAATTTTGTGGGATTTTTCTGGAATTTTGTGGGATTTTTCTTGGATTTTTCTGGATGTTGAAGAGATTTTGTGGGATGTTTCTGGAATTTTGTGGGATTCTCATGGAATTTTGTGGGATATTGAGGAGACTTGAAAAATTCTAAGGGATTTTCCTTAGATTTTGTGGAAATTTGTGGAGATATTGTGGAATATTTCTGGAATTTGGTAGCATTTTGAGAAGATTTAGGGAATTTTGTGGGATTTTTTTTCAATTTTGTGGGATTTTTGTGGATGTATGTGAGACTTTGAACAAATGAAAATAATTTTGTGGGATGTTTCTTGAATTTTGTGGGATTTTTGTGAATGTTCTAGAATTGCCTAAAATTTTGTAGGATTTTTTAAAATTATTTTTGTGGAATTTTTCGGAAATTTTGTGGGACTTTTCTGGAATTTTGAAGGATTGTTCTTGAATTTTATGGGATATTCAGGCAATTTTGTGGGATTTTTCTGGAATTTTGTGGGATGTTTCTGGAATTTGGTAGGGTTTTGAGGAGATTTAGGGAATTTTTTGTGATTTTTCTGCAATTTACCAGGATATTGATGAGATTTTGTGGGATTTCTCTGGAATTACGTGGGATTTTTCAGGAATTTGGAAGTATTTTGAGGAGATTTAGGGAATTTTGTGGGATTTTTTTGAATATTAGTGGGATATTGAGATTTTTGGGATGTTTCTGGAATTTTATGGGATTTTTCTTGAATTTTGTGAGGTTTTCCAAGGATTTTGTGAAATTTTTCTGGAATATTGTCAAAATTGGCGGAGATATTGTGGGATTTTTCTGGAATTTTTTTTGATTTTCCAGGAGTTTTGTTGGAAGTGGAGGAGATTTTGTGGGATGTTTCTGGAATTTTGTAGGATTTTGAGGAGACTTGAAGAATTTTGAGGGATTTTTCTTAGAATTTGTGGAAATTTGTAAAGATCTTGTGGGATGTTTCTGGAATTTTGTGGATTTTTCTTCAATTTTGTGGGATACTGAGGAGACTTGAAAACTTTTGAGGGATTTTTTTTAGATTTTGTGGAAATTTGTGGAGATATTGTGGAATATTTCTGGAATTTGGTAGCATTTTGAGAAGATTTAGGGAATTTTGTGGGATTTTTTTTCAATTTTGTGGGATTTTTGTGGAAGTATGTGAGACTTTGAACAAATGAAAATAATTTTGTGGGATGTTTCTTGAATTTTGTGGGATTTTTGTGAATGTTCTAGAATTGCCTAAAATTTTGTAGGATTTTTAAAATTATTTTCGTGGGATTTTTCGGAAATTTTGTGGGACTTTTCTGGAATTTTGAAGGATTGTTCTTGAATTTTATGGGATATTCAGGCAATTTTGTGGGATTTTTCTGGAATTTTGTGGGATGTTTCTGGAATTTGGTAGGGTTTTGAGGAGATTTAGGGAATTTTTTGTGATTTTTCTGCAATTTACCAGGATATTGATGAGATTTTGTGGGATTTCTCGGGAATTACGTGGGATTTTTCTGGAATTTGGAAATATTTTGAAAAGATTTAGGGAATTTTGTGGGATTTTTTGAATATTAGTGGGATATTGAGATTTTTTGGATGTTTCTGTAATTTTATGGGATTTTTCTTGAATTTTGTGAGGTTTTCCAAGGATTTTGTGGGATTTTTCTGGAATTTTGTGGGATGTTTCTGGAATTTGGTAGGGTTTTGAGGAGATTTAGGGAATTTTTTGTGATTTTTCTGCAATTTACCAGGATATTGGTGAGATTTTGTGGGATTTCTCGGGAATTACGTGGGATTTTTCTAAAATTTGGAAGTATTTTGAGGAGATTTAGGGAATTTTGTGGGATTTTTTTGAATATTAGTGGGATATTGAGATTTTTTGGGATGTTTCTGGAATTTTATGGGATTTTTCTTGAATTTTGTGAGGTTTTCCAAGGATTTTGTGAGATTTTTCTGGAAT